AAAATTAGCTGGGTTAGCTGGGTGTGGTAGCAAGTGTCTGTAGTCCCAGCTACTCAGGAGGCTGAGGCAGGAGAATTGCTTGAACCTGGGAGGTGGAGGTTGCAGTGAGCTGAGATCTCATGACTGCACTCCAGCCTGGTAACAGAGCAAGATACCGTCTCAAAAAAGGAAGTAACATGGTAAATAGCGTGACCCAGGCTTTCTCTCAAAGGAAATAAATTAATTGATTTAATGGATAATGTTGGAAACTTTCCGTACACACAGACACACACACACTCACAGGGTAAGTTTTGATGTGCTTTTTAATCTTTCGGTTTTTAAGAAAATTTTGCCCATATAGCTGGGCATGACTTCATTTGTCTGAAATGGTCAGCCCGAATTTAATGAGAAGCACGGGGTATTGTAAATCCAGGGGTGAAAACCAAGCAAAGGAAAATGCAGGCTAAATATCAGGGAAAATTTGCTGATCATGAGTCTGGAATGAGGAAAGGGGGAGGTGTGGTCGGTGTGGTCAGTGCCTTAAATTAGATGGGGAGATGGTGGGTGGAGAAGAGCCCACTGTGGACTTCCTCTCTCCATGTGTTCTCTCTGGGTTTGCTTGGCAGATGTGTTCACCTGCTTCTCAAAAACTCCATTTCATGGGAACCAATGAGTCTAATGCAATGCAATTCAATAAGTATATGATTCTGGCTCCTTTCACTGGGGAGCCAGGAGTCTTTCCAATACCTGCTGAGAGGTGGTGTGAGGTGGAGCTGTTCTCCTTGCTTATAGTGGAGATAGAAGGCAGGCAGTGAGTGGATGGGTCACTCTCCCTGATCTGCAAGCCCCCATTCATTCTCTACCTGCCCCCATTCATTCTTTGCCTGCCTTCTCCATGCCTTGGAAGCCTGCCTCTGTATCACCTAGCCGCCCTTTGGTCTTGGTCTGTAAAGAGTCAGAGGGTCAAGATTTTTGGATTTTGAGGCCAAGGGGCAACATTATATAGATACTTACATAACCATTAAAAAGTGTAAAAACCATTCTTTGTTTGCAGGTCATATAAAAACAGGTGGTGGGGTGGATTTAGATTGTCAACTAAAGAAACAGTTCCTGTTGAGTAGTCTCTTTGCAGGGTGCGGCTGTTCCCAGAACCCAGTAACACCATTTCCCCACGTGCTCTTTAGGTATAATAGCTCTTGCTGTTGCCAGCTCCTGGTGCCTCACCATCCGTGTGGGTTCCCTTAGCATTGCCTACACCTCTGTCAGTTCAGTTCTTTTCAGTGTGCTTTCTGCCTCCTATCAGGACCATGGCGAGTTCAGGGAGAGAGTTGAGGAAAGGGAAGCACAGTTTATGGTACCACATAAGGCCAAATATTTTGTCCAAGGCCGAGCAAATGTCCTTAGGCATTCTGGCTAGCACGGGACTCATTGTGGATTATACATCTTGGTAAAATAGTATGAAACCTGAGATTCCAGAAGCAAGCCTGCCTTATTTCTGGACAAAGAGCACACATGATTACTTTTGAATTTCTTTCTATGCTTCCAGCCTCCTTGTTGCACCTAAAACAACCTCTTTTTCTCTTCTCTCCTCAGAGAGATGGCATGAAGAATGTCACGTTCCTGGACAGAGTATACCAAAATGGTCTGTGTGTTTTGACTGGCTGGATGCTCTGGGGAGTGGTTGCATAATTACGGCTCATGCCTCAGCTCTTTAATAAGAGATGAGCCAGGTACAGCACTGTTTACTGGGGATTCGAAGCGTACCTGGTGCCTGCAGGGGTTCAAATCTGGTGGAGAGAAGGCTCATAAACATGAGTAATCACACCAACGGCTATGTGTGCATTTCCTCTACAGTAGAAGGAGCTGAGTAAGCATTAGCATTAGCTGTTCCACCAGGCAAAGGGAGGAGTCATGCTCTGCGTGTCCCAACAAGGGAGTCCTGTTGAGGAGCTCTGCGAGTCCACCGGCATCCTAGGTCATTTCCATCTGGCCTTTTAGCTGACTCCAAGACACTCAGATCCCCAACCACTTAACATTAATTCAGCAGTTGTGCTTGTGGTAACAATGGACCCAGTGTGAACTTTAATGTGGCTCTCCTTGCTGAGATGCATGAAAAATCGCTGCAGTGCAATCATGCTCTCTTTGCCTATTTTAACAATCCAGGCACCACAGTTCCTGCCCTCCAAGAACTTCCTATGGAGTGCTGGCTGGAACCTTTGGTGACAACTTTTTTTTTTTTGCGACAGAGTCTTGCCCTGTCACTCAGGCAATGGCGTGATCTTGGCTCATTGTAACCTCAGCCTCCTGGGTTCAAACGATTCTCCTGCCTCGGCCTCCCATGCAGCTGAGATTACAGGCACCTGCCACCACGCCCAGCTAATTTTTGTATTTTTAGTAGAGACAGTGTTTCACCATGTTGACCAGGCTGATCTCGAACTCCTTACTTCATGATCTGCCTGCCTCTGACTCCCAAAGTGCTGGGATTACGGTCATAAGCCACCGTGCCTGGCAGGTGACAACTTCTTAACTGAGCTTGTTAATACCCAGATGGCTAGGCCCCACTTCCAGAGTTTTTGATTTAGTAGATCTTGGATAGGGCCCAAGAATGCACATTTCTAACAAGTTCTTGGGTGATGCTGATGCTGCTGGTCCAGGGACCACTTTGAGAGCCAGTGCTTTAATACAGAGACTAAGAGGAAGCTCAAGAGCCAGGACTGCAGATAAAGTGATAATTGGAGCAATAGAGGCATATTGCTCAGCGAGTCTGGAAGTGAAATTAGAAAAGGGAGGCAATGTGAACAAAAGGAGTTTCACTTGATGGGAAAAAGTGGGCGAGTGGTGAGGGTCAGTGTGCTTTTGGAACCTTTTGTGAGATTCTGAGTTGACCTGGGAATCTGTATTTTTTAAAGAACTCCCAGGTGGTTCTGACACTCACCCAGGTTTGAAATCCTCTGTATATTCAACATCCTACAGTGCCTGGCACACAGTAGCTGCACAACAAATAGTCACTGAATTGATGCTATTTCCAAGTGGGTGTTGGGAGTGCTTAATGTATTAGCCCATGTAGTTATTTATCTCATCAAATTCAGTCCCAAACCACCCCTTAATAGAGAGTGTTCAAACAGAATTAATGTTCTCTCAATGTCCAAGATTACAGAAACAAAAACCTGGCTGTAACCAAAGATGTGGTGTAGTCACAAGGTACAGATTCCTGAGAACGGCATAACAGAAAATCCCCTTTCTTCTTCATGGCTGAGAATCCACTTGGCTCCTTCCTGTCTGCACACGCATGCACGCCACTGCATGTTCTTCATTAGAAAATAATTAGAAGCAAACAGCTGTTAGTCAAGCGAGCTGCATTTTGCCCACATCTTTCCTGAGTTCAAGCCATTACCCCAGGGGGCAGGCTTATCCTAAAAAAAGAATCTCACTGCTTTGAACACGGCAAACCAAAATAGAAATGCGTGGCAATTCAGGTGAGCCTGAGCTAGCTCAGCTGAGGAAACCAGTAACGTTTCGCTACACTGCCTGAAATGCTACTTCTTTCGATTTTGGAGGAGAAGGGCTGCTCCAAAATTAGCAAATTAACTCAGTAAATGATGAAAATAATCTTTGTTGCCATTGAAGATGGGTAAGGCTGTGTGCGTGCGTGCGTGTGTGTGTGTGTGTGTGTGTGTGTGTGTGTGTGTTTGGATGGTGATGGGAGCTGGCTCTATTGAGTCTTTCACTTGAGGCCTTAGAATTGGCTCAGTTTTGCTTGCAGCATGAAACTGGAGTCTGTAGCCCTAAGTTGGGGGCCTTGGGTTCCAGACCTCAGCAGGATAAGGACTTTGCCTATCTCAGTAGGAGATCAGAGAGTGGGGACAGATTATGTCTAGAGTCTTTTCAGCTGTAATTTTCCAGTGCTCTCTGACAAGTGGCATAATGCAGATATTTACGGGCAAGGCTAAAGAGTGAAGATGTTAACTGAATCACGTCAATTCAAAACCATTTGCACCAAGAAGAATAGAAAAGAGGCCTTCATGCTGGGCACAGTGGCTCAGGCCTGTAATCCTAGCATTTTGGGAGGCCGAGGTAGGTAGATTGCTTTAGCTCAGGAGTGCAAGACAAGCCTGAGCAACATGACGAAACCCTGTCTCTCAAAAAAACAAAAAAACCCAAAAATTAGCTGGGTGTGGTGGTGCATGCCTGTAGTCCTAGCTACTTGGGGGGCTGAGGCCAGGAGGATGACTTGAGCCTGTGAGGTCGAGGCTGCAGTGAGCAGAGATCACAACACCCCCTTCCAGCCTGGGTGACAGAGTGAGAACCTGTCTCAAAAAACAAACAAAAAAGAGGCCTTTAGGAAGCATTAACTGCCTCCTATGGCTTACACTTCCCAATAAACCAAAGAAGATTTTAAGCTCTGGAGGTGTGAAGGAAAGAGAGATGGTGGAGAAAAAAGATTTGCTCACAACCAGGAAGAGTGAGTCCTAGATCCATGGCCAATGAGATTTGCTGGTGAGCCCTGACACACTGGCAGGAGGAACAAATAAAAGGGAATGGGCTTATGTTATGGCCAAAGGAGCAGAGATTAGCATCAAGGAGAATGCTGCTATTTTTCTTAGATAGTAGATTGTCTACTAAATGAAGTTATGAGATGCTATGGAAATTTATGGTCACTCTTTGCAGTTACTACCCAAATTACTTGACTCATAGTCCATGCTTATTCTACTACTTTGCCATGGTGATTATTTTTTTCTTTGTGGTCTATCACCCAGGCTGGAGTGCAGTGGTGTCATCTCAGCTCACTGTAACCTCCACCTCCTGGGTTCAAGTGATTCTCCTGCCTCAGCCTCCTGAATAGCTGGGATTACAGATGCGTGCCACCACACCTGGCTAATTTTTGTATTTTTAGTAGAGACCGGGTTTCACCATGTTGGTTAGGCTGGTCCAGAACGCCTGACCTCGTGATCCACCTGCCTCAGCCTCCCAAAGTGCTGGGATTAAAGGCACGAGCCACCGTGCCTGGCCCAATTTTTTAAAAAAATATGGAACACTTCATGAATTTGCATGTCATCCTTGCCCAGGGGTCATGCTAATCTTTATATTGTTTCAATTTTAGTATATATGTTGCCGAAGTGGGCACCATGGTGATTTTTAAAAAGCCTAGTTTTCAACCCAGATTAAGTGGAAATCGATAAAGTAATTACTTGTATTTTCAAGTCCATAATTTTAGATAATTGTTCCACTGTGATAAGCTGGATTTGGGGTTGGGATTTTATCATGTGGAAAGATTTTGATTCTTTACTATGTAAGTGTTTTATCAGGACTGACGACAGATCTTTGAGTAGAGAGAGATATACCTTGATTGGAGAGTACCACTTCCGGGGGGAAGAAGGCCGACGCATATTGTTGTTGAGATTTCGAGGCTCAGGGAATTCATATTCCTGCTCCGGCATCTTGACTCTTGCATTCTTTGCCTTTTCTAATTTAGCACCTTCTTCTGTGGAGCCCTTTTCTCCCCAACGAACCTAAAATAAATAAAATACAATGAACCTAAAATAAATAAAATACAACGAAACAAAATGACAAAATATGCTGCCCCTCGAGAATGGGAATGACAAATACGTGAATGACTTGCAATGTGAGTGCTACCCAACGCTGGTTTCCTTTGGGTTTTGAGGGCCAGGGAAGAGGGAAACTGTGGGAAAAGAGAAAAGGGGAGGACTGAAGGAACAGAGAACGTGAACCACATGGATGGATATTTAGGGAGGGATTGTCCAGGCAGCGGGCACAGCACATGCAAAGACCTTGCAGGTCCAGGTAAGAACTTTGCATTTTATTCCAGTGAGAAAAGAAACCACAAGGAGGTTTGAGCCAGTGTGCAACCTGCTCTGACTCATGGTGGGTAAGGCATGGGAGTGCAGTTAAAAGCCTGTCCCTCCCATCTCTCCATCTTTCTGCCTTCAAATCCATATCCCCACCAGACCTCAAGCAGGTTTTTAGCAATTTGCTTTGGGTTTCTGACATTGAGTGGTCAGCATCGTCTATGGCCATACCGCCCTCAGCACGCCTGATCTCTAGAGGCTAAGTAGGGTCATGCCAGTTGGTACTTGGATGGGAGTAGTTGGTACATAGGTAAGTGTACATTAAGCTGTCCTCTTACCTCCATCCTTTTAATGCCTCCAACACCTCTCCCACCATAATAAGAGGCATCTACCGTTGGCCACTTTTTCTTAGGCAGACCATCATCATCTTCTTCCTGCAGAGAAATTGTGGCACATGAAGGAAGCAAAACAGCACTGCTGTGTGGACCTGCCTACTATGGCCAAGTGATTAGGAATAGAGCTTGTAGAGTCAGACTGCCTGGATGCAATCCCAGTGCTACTGTTTCCTGAGACCTTGGGCCAGTCATTGAAACCACCTAAGCTTGTTTTCCTGATGTGTAGAGTGGGGATGTGAGCAGAGCTACCTGATAAGTTTGTGGTACAGTCCTCTTCTCTTGTTCTCTTCTGCAGCTCTGCTCCTTTGTGGGAATTGCATCCAACCCCACCTGTATGTGCTGATGACTTGCGAATTTACATCTTCAGCCCTGATGCCTCTGAGCTCCAACTGCTCACTTGATATTCACATTATTTGGGGGCTAAAAACCATCTCAATAATACCACGGCAGACAGTCCTGACTTCCCCACCCTAAATGTGCTCCTCCTGTAGTCTTCCCCACTGTCTAGAAGTCACTCTCTCTTCCTTACTGCCTTTCCCCTACTCATCCCCTACTCAACTTGCCAGCTAGTTCTGTTGCTACTACTTAAAGATCTAAAATCTGTTGACTTCTCCATCCCCACCACTACCACGCTGTGCCCACGCCCCCATGCACTTGCTTCTGGACACTGTGGCAGCTTCCCAACTGGCCTCCTGTTGCCCTCAGACTCGCCTACGATCTGTTCTTCATAAAGCGGCAGAGCAAGCACAAACACCAGCTCTGCCTTGTGCGTTCTGGCCTTGGCTCACCTTTCTAGACTTCTTTCTTGTTACGGCCCCTCCTCCTGAGCTCCAGTCTGCCTGCCCTCTCTCTGTTCCTCAGATACTCTGAGAAAATTCCTGTCTTGGGGCGCACAGTGTCCCCTTGTCCAGAAATGTACCTTCCCCACACCATCTTCTGATAGATAGATTTTCATATTGCTCCTCAGAGAAGCCTCCCCTGGAGAATTTCTTCTAAAGTAGCTGCAGTCTCTCCATCCCATCAATCTGTTTTATTTTTAGTTAAGGATCTCATCATGGCTTGTTATTTACTTAATATGTGTCTCTCCACACTAGAACACATGTTCCACAGAGGCTTTTGTTTATTTGTCATGCTTACGATTGTATTCCCAGTTTTTAGAATAGCACTACTTAGTATGTGGGGAGTGCCCAAGAATTGTCTGTTGAATTTACAAATAAGTTAAATGAGGCAACTCAGTAAAGCAGTTAACTCAGTGTCTGCAACTTAGCTCAGTGACAAGAAGTTAGTGTTTATATTTTTTAAGATGAAGAAAGAAGACAAGAGGAACCTGTAACTTTATGGATAGAAAAAGGGAGGAGATGTAGCGACTACTCTTCAGCTTGGCACTGTAATTATTCTTGTTGTAGGGAGAAAAATATCACCATTTTCAACCATGGATGGATTATAAGGAAGTGGCATGATTTTTCCCCTGGGTAGAGAAAGGAAGCTGGAAAAGGGGTTGATTTGGCAGAGGAATGAGTCAAAGAGAGAGAAATTGCTCACAATGCCAAAGTCTGCTTCTCACAGCCTTGTTCTGGTGGCATTTGGGTGAAGTCCTATGCAGGGCACCACTGTGTGGGAAGGGGGACCCTGTGCAGGAGGCAAGGTACAAAGAAGCAAAGACAGGGGAGGTCAGGACAAAAGGCGACAAGACAAAGCAGGAACATGTTGGGACATTAAGACTCCCTGAGTTACATGGTGTGCTTGGGATGGGTAGGCTTCATTAAAATGATTTTTAAAAAATTGAATACAACTTAAAGGACAGAGAGATCATAGCAGACTAGGACGTACGACATTCTGACAACTGATGCTTGGGTCTCTCTCTCTCTCTCTCTCTCTCACTCTCACTTGGTTGCTCTCTCTCAGATTCTGCTGACCCTTGTATTCTAAGTGCAAAGTAGGTGCTCAATAAACACATATTGCATTCATGATAATACACCATTGAATTTATGCAGCCTTTCCCATGCTATGTGCCAGTCACTCTTCTAAGTGCTTTACATGTATTGTTAATCCTTTAATCTTGCAACCAGCCAGGAAGGTATGTGATGTTATTATTCCTGTTTTAGAGAATGAGAATAGAGAGGTTAAATGACTTAGGTCAGCAGCTTGCATGTGGCAGAGCTGGATCTGAACTCACGCAACCTCATTCTCATTTGATTTTTTCTCAGTCTGGATTTTGTTCTTTTGTGGTTTGCTTGCAGTCATTTGATGGCAACAAATACATGCTCATTTTTGACTTCTCACTCCTTGTACCTGCGAATTTTGATGATTTTTTTTTTTTTTTTGAGAAAGAATCTCTCTCTCTCACCCAGGCTGGAGTGCAGCCTGAACCACCCCAGCTCAAGCAATTCTCTCACCTCAGCCTCCCTGAGTAGCTGGGACTACAGACGCATACCAGCTGCCCAGCTAATTTTTCTATTTTTTGTAGAGATGGGGTTTTACCACGTTGCCCAGGCTGCTCACAAACTCCTGGGCTCAAGTGATTCTCCCACCTCAGCCTCTCAATGTGCTGGGAATACAGGCATGAGCCACCACACCTGGCCTTAATTTTGATAATTTACAACTGCAAAATATGACAAAATAAAGTTCCCAACACAATAAAATATTATAGTTCATATTACTTTACCTTATAATTTCAGAGGTTTCTTTCACCTTAGGACATGAAAGCAGGAATCTTATATATCCTACATGTGATTAAACTTTACACTGAAGGTGGATGTATGTTTCTGTGTGTCTGTGAACACAGATACACAAAATATGGCTCTGAAAGCCTGGGCATTCCTGGTCTGGGCAGTTTTCCAAAGGAGGTAACAGAAATTCTATCCCCTAAAACTGAACACAGCAGCACTACAAACGTTAAGAAACTCCAAGAATTAAGCCGCTTTATTCCATACGGGACTGAACTAGGTTCATTGGCCTCCTAATTTTTTAGGAGCTCATCTATTTAAGCCTTTTCACTGCGCAGAAGAGGAGTCAGGTCTAGAGAAATGAAGTGACTCCTGAAGGTGGAGTTCTGGTGTGGTTTTCTGAGGCCTTGCCCAGGGAGTTTTCTCCCCCTATATTTTACGAAAAGAACTTAGACTTTACAATTGGCTTTCTGTAATTAGCAACCCCGAGTACTGAGGATATAGTAAGAGGCATGAAGCCGGTTTCCGCCGCTTTCCAGGCTCCCTTGCACACCCGGGCAACCCCCCTCTAGTCCTCGTCCTCCCTCTACTCCCTGATCCCACCCTCTAGTCCCTGGCCCCTCCCTCTAGTCTCTGGCTCCTCCCTCTTGTCCCTGGGCTGGGGATGGAGACATCGCCACCCCCTTGCACATGGGCAGGACTGGGCCTTCTTGAAACAGGAAATGCTTAGGGCTTGGGCAATCTCCATAAGCTGCTGCGCCACCGAGCCCGTCGCTTAATCCCCTGACCGGAGCTGGCCTGCCAAGCTCAGACAACAGCACCAGGCAGCACAAAGGCCCAGGGGCAGACGGATAGGAGAGTCAGAGTTTCCCCTGCAGTTAGCATGGATCTGTTTACACATTCTGGAGACAGGAGGGTTTTGCAATCCCCAGGAAGAGAAGGAAATCTTTGATGTGTCTTTTCATTTGGCCAAAAATGGATGGAGTAGAATCCCAGCCTCTCAGCAAGGCCACCAAGAAATTCGGCAGCCCCGAAGGGTGGATTTTTACATCTCATTAAATCATAAAGGCTCCTACACTGCCCTTCAAGGATGGTAGCAGGGAGGGAGAAAACCACCAATACAGAAATCCTCAGTGTAAGCTGGCTTTCTCCTAGTACACAAAACCAAACAAAAACCTTGCTGTCCTCTATGGTGACTGGAGGAGGAGACTGGATGATCCCAGTTGCTTTGGATGAGAAACCAGGGGATCAGGGGCT